CTCATCTTGCTCATCCTTAAAATGAACTGAAGATTTTTGGTCTCCATATAGTTTATAACAGAAAGGCTTTATGTGACCATGCTCACCATAATAATGGCATATCCAAGTTGATGAATGAATTCTGTATAATGTTTGATCATGACTGTTAGAATGTTGTAACATGTGATTCGACATGTTGATTATTATCTTACTTTCAGAAGGAAGAGACTTCACCACAGATACACCTCTTTGATATTTATCAACTTGATAGTCATCTTATATATCTCCAGTTTCTTTTATCATCTCCGCTCTATCTTCCATGTTTTTTAATGAGGCTGACATGTTATTAATCTTGAAATTTAAGAGAGTTACCTCACTATGAAGATGAGATACAATATGTAACACCCCAACATTCATAATTAATTACTTAGTTAACTATTGGCGAGTATTTGTGAATTATTATGATTATACGATGCAGTGTGTGATTTTGTTGTTGAATGTTGTGAGGTATAGGTGCTATGTTGTGGAATATGTAGACTAAGGTGTTAATTACTATTATTTAGAATTAATTATAATTTAGATAATTAGTTTTAATTATTTAAAATTATTATGAGTATCTAAATTAAGAATGATGGGGTATAGATAGTAAGGGAAAAAAGGTAAAATTTATGAGGATGAGTGAGGGTAAGATAGGAAGATCGTATTAAAGGTCTAAGGGTTAAATAAGGAAAAGAGGAAAAACAATTAATTATGTATGATCATGTTTTGGGCGTGAAGTAGTGAACGAGAGCCAGGGCATTAAGGAACTCATAAAAATTCAGTAGATAACACAAAGAAAAGATCAAAGCTAGGAACCTAAGGTAAATGGATGATCCTTGTTATTATAATTGATATGGGGTTTAGGTGTATGTAGGATTGTTTGGGGTTTTATGATGAATTGGTAATATGATGATTTTGATGAAAATTGATGAAATATGTGATGTTGTTTTGAAATGAGTTGATGTGTATAATGTCTATCATGATGTGTTGTTGTTGTATTGTGAAAATATGTTGAATTTGATGTGTTTTAGGATTGTACTGTGTTAAAATCGTATGAGAGTTGAGACTGGTCTGATGCAGAAATCACAATAGGAAGTTGTTGTTTCACATGTGTCGTCGGGCGAGACAAGCTTCACCGGGCGAAGCGGTTTCGCCCAAGCGTCCCGGGCGAGACTTTGGACGAGGGAACTTGGGAAAATGCATGCTCCTGGAAAATAAGTGAAGCGCCTCATCATCGTCGGGCGAGCGCGGGGCGATGAAGCAGCACCAGGCGAGCACTTTGCATCGTCGGGCAAGCCTCAGGCAATTAGATTGGGATAAATTTATTTTAAAACTTTGAAAATTTATAACTCGAGCTGTGAGTGTTTGATTGACGCGTGGTTCAGATAGTTAGAAAGCTGGTTTGATATACTTTCTCTTAAAAATATTTTTAGTATCAGAATTCCAACTATTTGACATGCGAACGGTTGTTTCGTACTGTCGAGTTAGGTCGTTTTGTAAAGTGTATGTAAAGGCTTTGTGTAATTGATAATTGGTGATGTTATATGCCTAACAATAACAATGGTGTCATTGTGAAATTGATTGTGATGATGGAAGACGTGCATGATAAATATATGTATACATGTTATATGAAGAATATTATTATGATAATTACATGAATTATGATGCAATTGACTAGCCGTGGTTGAATTATTATTGGTATTGTGCATCATACATTCATGGAATATGTTAGGATGTTGTCCAATGATGGACTCAATCCCATTATGTGGATTGAGTGTGTTTTATGACGTGCTCGAGTTCTAATAGGGAATCAATCCTATGATGGAGTCTTTGGAGGGCGATGATCGATTGTTCATCAATGAATTTTGGTACCACATGCATGAGTTAATGAAGTTGCATTACATTCTTTGTGACATTGCATGATTATTGAATAAATTATGATTAATGATGTTGTGACTTAAGTGATGTTTGGTGATGAGTGTCGATTTGATGATATAATGATGTTGTGATCTGTATTAATGATGTAGAAGTGTGAGTATGAGATATGGTGTATGATGATAGATGTATTTCTTGATAATTAGTGTTGTAACTATTATATCTATTTTGTATATCTTTTGTAATGATTTGTGATTACTCACCCTTTCTGCTTGAATGTTGTCTCCACGTGGATAACGCGTAGATAACCAAGAGTAGTTTGTCGAAGTTTAGAGGGTAGCTTCGGAGTGCATTATTTAGTTGTTTATGTTGAATAAATAGAGTCTTGCTCTGATATGTAACATCGGGGTTGGAATCATTTGATTTGAATATTGTATTCCTTTGTTGGCATGATTTATAAGTTATTTAATTGTCTAAGTTGTTTGAATATTGAATTATGAAAGATGGAGTATCACGATGTTATATTGAAATTTTTATAACAAAACCATGTTGAGATTAAGATTCCGCTGCGAAGTATTTCATTATTGTGTTTGGTATTCCGAAAAGGAAATTGAGTTATAATTGTTGAAAAACCCGTGTTACAGAGCAAAATGTTTTATTATGATGTTGTTATGATGATGTGACACTCTTGTTGGTGATTTTATTTGATTTATTTTCATAAATTATATGCGAAATATATGTGAGTTTAGAAGGGTGTTACACAGTACATAAAAGTCTATTCTTTTTATTTTCCAAGTCAACTATGATCTCTCTCTAGTCTTCCTTTGTTTGGATATTTGCTTCACACCTGTTGCAAGTATCTTCGTAGGATGTATCAAGATCTTCACTATAATCATAAGCTTCCATTTCAACTGTCCATCTTCCAGACAGAGCCAACACAAGTTTTGCAGATTCATTATTAGCCTTATCTTTTGATTCATCATCATAGACCAAGACACATTAAATCTCTTTTTTTGCCTCTTGAGAAAAGTGAGACATTCTAGTTTGATGTGCTCAAAACCTTCCCACTCATAACACTAAATGACCTTGCTTTGATTGGTCATTTTGTCAGGCATGACGTTCTTCTAAAGGTTTTCCTTATTATTGATTTCAATGAGATGCTTCTGACATTTGGTCTTCCTCTTCTGTCCAGCCTTTTTAGAATTTTGTTAAATTGCTTCCCAAGTAACACAATCGTATTGGACAGATCTTCATCAGTATCTAAATTAGTTTTACCTTCATCATCTTTAATACTGGATACAAAAACTATGCCTTTGTTCTTTTTCTCAGTCTTGTCACTAATGACCAATTCAAAAGTTTGGAGTGACCCAATAAGCTCATCAACTCTCATGTTGTTGATGTCACGAGCTTCTTCAATAGCTGTAATCTTCATGTCAAATCTCCTAGGTAAGGACCTAAGAATCTTTCTGACCAACTTTTCTTCTGACATTTTGTCTCCCAAGACACTTGATGCACTAGCAATGTCAAGAATCTTCATCTGATATTCCTGAATTGTCTCATCATCATTCATCTTCAAGTTCTTAAATTTAGAAGTGAGAAGTCGAAGTCTTGAAATCTTCACTTTAGATGTACCTTCATAAGTTGTGTTGAGAATTTTCCAATCATCCTTGACTACAGTATATGTATTAAGCAGCCTGAAAATATTTTTGTCTATTCCATTGAATAAAGTATTTAAAGCCTTGAAATTTCTAATGGTTTCTTTATCATCATTTTCATCCTAGTCTTCTTCAGGTTTCATTGATTCTTTTCCATCTCTGTCTTTCACAACTAGGGATGACAATGAATACCCATGGACACGAGTAATAGTCTCCCGCTACCCGCCCCGTTTAGTAAATATGATACCCGTATCCGCCCTATACCTGTGCGGGTATCCGTTAGACGGGTATCCCTGAATATTCAGATACCCACAAATATTTACCGGTATCCATGGATACTATTATTTAAATATATATTTTTAAATATATATATATATATATATATATATATATATATATATATATATATATATATATATATATTTAAATTACTAATTTTTTAAAGAGAAAAAAGTATTATTTTTAAATTTAACACATAATAAATAATAACAAAAATAAATCACATTCATTTTATATCTTCTTTTATCAAAATAATAATAATAATAATAATAATAATAATAATAATAATAATAATAATAATAATAATAATAATAATATATTTAACAAAATAATAACAACAACAACAATAATAAAAATAATTTTTTATCAAACAAATTAATATTTAAGTGTTTTTTACTAATTATTAACAGATTCAGATACCCTCAGGTACATGTACCATCAAATTCATATTCGTATTAGTAAGTAAACTGGTAATCAAATATCGGTTTATTTTACCCGTAGATATCCATTAAACCATGACACTCGTGCTCGTGACGAATTTTACCTGCGAGTACTAATTTTTTTGTCATTCCTAATCACAATCGGATGGTCCTATTTTTAAAACAACGTTCCAAACTTTATTATCCATAGATTTAAAATGTTAATTAACAATTGTCTTTATTTGGGAGATAATACTTTTATTTTTAAATATCAAACTTTTTCAAATATCAAACTTTTTCTTTCTATATAAATATAAAATAAAAGATATTAAATTAAAAGTAATTATATTTATTAATATATGTAAAAGTGTCAAAATAATTTATGATAAAAAGCAGAGAAAACAAATTACTTTGAATTTAATATCTTTAATTTTATATTTATAGTAAATCTGAATTTATTATGATAACACAATAAAGGTGGTATTATTATTTGACTTCAGTTGGTGCATTTGTTTGAGTGCAAAAGTGGGTTACACCGGCATCGTCCGAAAAAGCGCATACACCACCAGGTGATTTGTGAGTTCATTTTCTTCTATGCATCTCCGTTTCCGCATTTCCCTCGTTCATATACTTTACGCAACTCACAGCATTGTGTTTTTCTGCTTATAAATTTTACAATCCACTTCCGATCATTTTCAAAGTGTATCAACTTGCTTGCTGTGTTTTTTCGACGTTCATTTTGGTGCTATACAACATGTCGTCAACTTCTCTTTGCATTCTCACTGTTTTTCTTCATTTGCTGCTTTACTCCTGCTCAGGTATGGATTGCTACTTCATTCATTTACATGCTATGCTATCATCAATTCATTTCATTGCCTTTAGCTTCTGTAACGCTTCAACTTCACGTGAAACCTAATTCTTATTCAATCTTGTTAATATTCGCTTCTTTTCATGCAGCGAATTTGGTTTCTATGAGTCCCTCGTTTGCTTCGTCCAAACCAGCTCAAGTGTGGATGGTTAAACCCTTTTCTGGGTCATCTTCTGATCATAGGATGTATTATGCTGTGGCTCCTTCCCCTTCCCAAACCCAAGGTAATTTCCAGCAGTTAGTCACCTTTCTTCTGCTTCTACTTTTACCTGGCTTGGACTCTTATAGTATCTCAATGTCTATTTAGTCCTTCAATATTGTACTCTTTCTCTATTTATAACGGGTTTATCTAATACACTGGAATGGGGCAGATTTTTCATTTTAGTGGAAATTTCAAAGTTTAAATTGCAATGAGATTAATCAAATTTTTTATTGAAATACTTATGTGAGCATCATTTTTTCAGTCCTTTTATTCCTTAGGCTTGCATTTCATTTTGTTTTTCATGGATCATAGTACCATGCACTCATTGTACAAAAAACAAATTTCTGCAGCATGTGGCCTAAGCTGCCAGGAACCACTCACAGAAACTCCCTTTGGTTCACCTTGTGGTTGTGTGCTTCCCATGAGTGTCTTACTTTTACTGGATGCAGCTCCTTTGGTTGTTTATCCGGTAATTAATGAGTTAGAGCTTGAACTTGCATCTGGCACATATTTGAAGCAAAGCCAGGTGAGGATAATGGGTGTTATTGCTGACACTCAAAATGAAGGAAAAAGCTTAGTTGAAGTTAACCTGGTACCACTTGGTGAGAAATTCGACAATATAACTGTGGTTCTGATATCCCGGAGACTTTGGCACAAGAAAGTTCCTCTAAGTAGGAGTCTTTTCGGTGATTACACAGTCTTGGAGACTACTTATCCAGGTAGGTAACTGTTTTGCTGATCTAAATAACATTTTACATTTTTCCTGTCATATGTTACTGCTTGGGACTGAACAATTAGTATCAGGGATGCCATTATCTCCCCTGAATGGAACATCAACTGGGAGTGCTCCCCTTCCCAGCAGAAGTGTTGCAGGTTTCCCATTCAGCGTCGACTTTAACGGCATCAGCAAGAAGGATGAAATGAGTCTTAGCACCATAATCATCATTGCTGTATGTTCCATCTTACTCTTGCTGGCAATGGTTGGAGGAGCATTTTACACCATTTTAAAATGTAGGAAAGTCAGGAGACCATCAAGTGCGCCTGGCCTGCCATTCGCACAGTCTCTAAACAAGAGATCTGGTACAGTTTCAAACTTTGTGTGTGTGTGTTTTTTGAATATGTCACTCCTTAGGTTAAGCACGGCTCTTTTTGCACTTTCTTTCTATTAGTTCATTATACTCATCATTAGAATTAGGACCATGTCCCAAAGATTATGTCTGTTATATTCTATTTCTTGAAAAGTAGCTGCAAAAGACTTTGTTTACTTACACTTTTATGAATTCATAGCTTGCTGGCCTTTGAATTTTATTTCATCTCAACGTCGTTTGATCATTACATGTCAATTGTGTCACAGTTCAATTAGGTTTCTGTTATTTACATGTATACTTTCTAGTGCTTTGCTTTTATACAACAATTATAAAGTAAATTTTTGGACCAATTGATATTAGTGTTACTTGGGGACATCACTTACTGTTTAAGGTTAGTTGAATAACCTTCTTACAGAAAATTTTATTGAAGGGAATCCTCTGGGATCCGAGGCATGCTACATCCTTATTAGCATTTTTCTCATTTATGTTAAGAAAAACATCTTTATCTATTTTGTGGACTTCTGTTGCTGAGGAGATGTATAAATTGGTGCGAATATGGTACATGGCTTAATGCATTAATGGCAAAAAAATTATGTTATCTTTGACTTTTTAGTGTCTACTTTGTTCTGTAAATCATATCAGAATTGCGGTTGAATATAAACGGGTGTTTGGTTGTTTTGCAGCCGTGGAGTCTTCATTGTCTAGCAGAATGACAAGCTCAATATCAATGTCCCATATGTCCCCCATAGCTACCTCTGTTCTTTCTGTGAAAAAGTTTTCCCTTTCTGAGCTTACGAAAGCAACAGATACGTTCAGTTCAGAAAAAATATTGGGGGAAGGAGGATTTGGGCGTGTTTATCATGGGAGATTAGATGATGGAACTGATGTTGCAGTTAAGGTACTAACAAAGGGTTTTCATCAAAATGGAAACCATGAATTTAATGTGGAAGTTGAGATGCTATGCCGTTTACATCATCGTAATCTTGTGAAACTAATCGGCATATGCATAGAAGGGCACAAACGATGCTTGGTGTATGAGCTTGTTCGCAATGGCAGCGTCGAGTCTCATTTGCATGGTAAATGATGACATGTTTTCTCCGGCTCCAGTATGCATCCTTTGTTCGATTTACATTGCATTACCATCAATTAAATGTAACTCTTGTTATTTATTCTTGCAGGTGTTGATCAGATAAATGACCCTCTGGATTGGGAAGCACGGAAAAAAATTGCCCTTGGAGCTGCAAGAGGATTGGCCTATCTCCACGAGGATTCTAATCCTCATGTAATCCACCGAGACTTTAAAACTGGCAATGTGTTGTTAGAAGATGACTTCACCCCCAAGGTTTCTGATTTTGGATTAGCAAGAGAAGCAACCGAAGGAAGTCAATCTGTTCCTACAAGAGTCGTGGGGACTTTTGGGTAAGTACAACACTTTGTCTGCAGCAATAGATTGAGTATTTCTTAAACGTTATATCCTGGAAATCATGGGTGTTCATCCGACATGCATAACAGATGGGATAAATCCTTGGTATCTGATAGATCGGTTCATTCATGATGTGTAGATGTTCCATTTCATAAGCATTTTTGAATGACCATACTTTTAACATGGTAGTGTTTAACTATACTTCATTGAGTTAACTAGCATAAGCTAATGATTCTATAGATTGTGTTTTCTTCTCTACTTAATAGTTTACCAAAATTATCAACTGCATTAATTGTAACTTCTGTATCTTATCTTATAAATTGTGCGTGATTATCATTGGTGTGTGATGATGTCGGTATAAATTCTGGGCTTCAAAATGATACCATTTTCATGTGTTTGATTTTGCAGGTATGTCGCCCCAGAATATGCAATGACAGGACGTTTGCTTGTTAAAAGCGATGTTTACAGTTATGGTGTTGTGCTGCTGGAACTTCTAACAGGAAGAAAGCCAGTGGACATGTCTCAACCTGTTGGGGAGGAGAATCTGGTGGTATGGGCACGACCACTATTGAAAAGTAGAGAGGGTTTAGAACAGCTGGTGGATCCGACATTGGCTGGAACTTATGACTTTGACGAAATGGCAAAGGTTGCTGCTATTGCTTCAATGTGTGTAAGCCTGGAGGTCTCTCAGAGACCCTTTATGGGTGAAGTTGTGCAGGCTCTTAAGTTGATATACAACGACAATGATGAGATGGACGTGGATCACTTGAGTCCGAGGGAATCTTCTGGTCGAGGGTCTGATTTTCGAGGCGACCTTTCTGATAGCAGTTGGTGGTATGATGAGCCTGTACTAACTCTTAGGCAAGCGGTATCATCGTCCTTCATCACAATGGATTACAGTTCCGGTCCACTTGATGAAGTGGAAAACAGAATGTTTTCAGGTTCAAACTTGATGGGAAATGGTTTGTCTTTATTACCAATTCGACTCGGCAATAGCTCAGGTCCCTTGAGAACAGCTAGAAGAAACAAGCTACCCTTTCATAGGCTTAATGGAAGTCAAAGTGATCATTCGGCATTTCCTTCCAAGCCTCTTGGGAATGGAGGTGACCGGCCTTGAGGTTTCTTCTAGTGTTTTTGGTATATCAGAAAATCATATAGTTTTCTTGTTAAAATTGCCTTCTACTTTTAATTTATATACTTACATTATACAGCCGTATTTGGCGTTATAAAATATAGACTATACTTTTACACATTTCATTGGTGTTTTACTTTCTGTCTCTTTTATATTTGTTTGTTTTATTTTGTGTTACCCTTTGATTATTATGACCCCTCATAATAACCATATTCCTTAGAATATTTTTTATAACCTTAAAACAAACACACCCTATATTACATTCATAATGTTATTACTAGTTTCTTTTTTGCTTAGTTAAATGCTTATATGGTAGGAGGCGATATGATTTGAACTCAACTCAACTTCACCCTATTCAATCCCATTTAGGTCCACTTATTTTTATGACATTCCTCAAATACAAATTTATGGTATTCCAGTATCTTACCTCTGTTTAATTTTATCTCTTCTTTGCCGTTTCTTACAGCTGAGAATCTAACACTTTTTTATTTATTTGGCTTAGCTAAATTTCTTTCTAAATTTTTTTTATTTAAATGGAGTGATGGTTGATTTTAGGGGATCTCATGTCCTTTGTGAGAAAATTTAATTGAATCAGTTTCTCATCTTTTTATCATATATGAGTTAGTTTTGTTCGTGCGATATAAATTTTCTAATAGTTGAATTTAATGATGACTTTTCTTAAAAATCATATGTTTTTTTAGTTGACTCTTCCTAGAGATCTTATATTTTCTTACTCTTTCATTTCTTTAGGTGATAGTGATAAGTTTAAGGTGATTTTGATAGTTTGATCTTTTGGATAGTTTGCAACAATGTCATCTTTATTAGTTTCGAAAATTGTGATAAAAGTGAAGAAAAAAACAGTTTTTTTTTGTCTGGAGATGATTTCTAGATAAATTAGAGGTGATTTTTTGTATATTTTTTAGTCGACTTTAGAACCCCATCTCCTGTCTTACACGAATAACAAATCAAGTGTTTGTCTTAGTTCTAAGATAAATTTTTGTTTGTGATTTTGCTGCTCTCCCGATGAATTCTAATATGTTGATAGTAATTATGTAAAAAATTATATTCTTACACCAAAAGTGTACACTTATAATGCATTTTATTGTTTTTACTATTCACCAATGTAGTAAATAATGAAACATTATAATAATAAAATAAATTTTTTTATTTTTTATTTTTTAAAATTGTGTGATTAACCAACTTCATCATTTCATTAATTAACTTTTTAAACTTTATTAACCAACTTTATTTCATTACTAAAAATTACTTTTAATATTTGAGCGTATATTAACCAACTCCATCACTTTATTAACTAATTTTTTACATTTCATTAACCAACTTTATTTTACTACTAAAAATCATTTTTAATATCTGTACATATATTAACCAACTTCATCACTTCATTAACCAACTTTATTTTATCACTAAAAGTCACTTTTCACGGTAATATTCATGGGCACTTTTCACAAGTCAATATTCACACACTGTTCATGATACTGTTCACGCTACTTAGGATGGAAATAAGTCAAACCAACTAACAGGGGCCTACGGCCTAGCCTACACAGGCCAAGGCCAGACCAGACTTTTTTTAAGTAGAAAAGGCATAGGCTTTTATATAAGCCTATTTAGTTAAATAGGCTAGGCCAGAGATCATAAAAATAGTCTTTTAAGTTTTTCAGGCCGGTTTATTTTAATAAATATAAATTTGTTATTTTTTTATATTTATTTCATATTTTATATTAAAATACAAAAACAAAGTTTAGTTATCTTGAAGAACTGTGAAAATGAGTTGAAAAAATCTAATGAATAATGTCATAAGTTGTTTTCATAATTTCTCTCAAATAAACAATCTCACAAAACTTATGCTATTATATAAGCTCAAATAAGTCAATGTAAATCAATATTTAGTCTCATTGTACTTTTGATTCTCTAGTATATTTAAACATTAGTTGAATTTCTTATTTACTTATGTTCAAATGATATAGGCTTTTTAAGCAGACTAATAGACTAATCAGGACTTCGGAAATGTCGCGCTCAGTGTCATACCTCAAATTTGTCTCGCAAATTCAAACAATCTTTAGCCAACTAAATTAGGTTTGGGACCAAGAAATTTAGGGTTCCACGTGGTTTGAAGGCTCCTGTTATCAGACAAGCCTAGTTCACCTGCCTATTTATGGGCATTGGTTTGTGTTACTAGGATTCTTTGTCATGATCATTTTAGAGTTCCTATTTTCAGTAGGTTACAAGGTTTTGATCAGTTAACAAGGGCATTGTTATTAAGGTTTTTAATATTTGACATATCCGGCCGCATACGACGAACATTCTGTTTCACTGTAGGGCATTCCTCTTTTATAGGTAGGCGATGAACCACAATATCGGTGTCAAGTCCCGGCATGTCTTTGTATGACCAGACAAAAACCTCAACATAGTCATGTAGCATCTGTATTAACCGTTGTTTGACACTGGGCTCTAAGTTAGCACATACCTTGACTTCTTTTCTGTCCTCTTCAGTACCCAAGTTCACTGTCTCAATTGGCTCCTCATGAGGCTGTATTGCCCTTTCTTCTTGTTGTAACAGTCTGACAAGCTCTCCTGGTACGTCACAATCTTCCTCAACTTCATCATCGGCTTGGTTGATCGGATTTTCAAAGTCATAATGAGCAATAACAAAACCGTTATCAATGGGATCCAAAGTGGATGTGGATCTACAGTTGGATATGTGAGTGTGTGTAAGAGCATAGCTGTATATTTTTGATAAATTAAAGAGCAGAAAAGAGAAACAAAGAGCGTAAAATTTGTATGTGAAACATTCAATATTTTATTGATGACATATGAAAATGAAGCAATGATCCTCACAAATAGACCATTGTGCCTCGGGTAAGACACAAGGCTTTAATGTTTCAATTGTTTAAATATTACATTTCTTTAAAACAAAAAGACAAATTACTCTTGAATAAAAGTAATGGGTACAAAGTCTTTAGCCTCTCAATTGCTGACTCCAGCGCTGATGGTTGGGAAGATCCACTTGTCCAAGTCATAATCAGTATCGTTGTCTTCCAAGACATTGGATCCATGGTTGTTGATCCATAAAGGTGGTTCCCCGACGCGAGTACGACGAACAGCTCTCTAGGCTCCTTCTTCAACGGCTTCCTTGGTATCTTTCAGAGAAGTCACCTTCAGCGGAGGCCTAGTAGTCTTTGGAATATTGACAGTGGTCTTGGTTGCAACAACGGTCTGTGGAACCTCCTCAAAGTTCTGACAGGGGGTTTCAATGAATTTGCCGTCCATTTCAATGTACCTGAAAGATTTCAAGTGGCTCACTATGTACCCCTCTTCCCCATGAACTATGATAATCTTCCCATTGACTAGGTACTTCAGCATTTGATGTAGGGTGGAAGTCACAACGCCAGCCCCATAGATCCAGGGTCGACCCAATAAACATGAGTAAGATGGGCGGATGTCCATCACATAGAAAGTGAAATAAAAAGTATGAGTACCCACTTTGATAGGGATGTCCATGTTCCCATGCACCATTCTTTTAGAACCGTCGAAGGCTCTCACCACAATGTTACTGGGTTTCATAGTCAATCCTTCACAATCTAATCTGTCAAGGGCTTTCTTGGGTGGAACATTCAGCGATGAACCTGTATCCACTCAAACATGGGCCAAAGTAGTGCCGCTGCACTCGATAGAGACATGCAGAGCATTATTATGTTTCCTTCCCTTAGGAGTTAGGCCTGCATCAAAGAATCCCAAGCCATTTTTAGCTGTCAAACTAGCCACACAATTCTCAAATTGATCAGCGGAGGTCTCTTGAGGCACGTGGGCAGACTTCAGGAAATTTACTAAAGCCTTGGCATGGGCTTCAGAGCACAGTAATAGGGCCAGCATTGAGATTTTGGAAGGGGTCTGCCCCAGTTGTTCAACCATATTGTAGTCACTCTTCTTGATTATTTTCAATATCTCTTCCATCTTTTTTTTAGAAGCCACGTGGACGGCTTCTGGACGTGACTTCATCTAGATAGGCTCAATCAATACCTCTTTGCCCCGAGTCTCGGCCGACTCGGTATTAGGGATAACAGTAGGACTAACAGCAGGGGTATCTATGGGAATATTGACAGGAGCAACAAGGATGATCACAGGAGTAGCAACAGTTTTAGGATGAGAGATCTCGGGAGAGAAAACTCTTCCGCTTCTTGTTATCTTACTGGTCCCAACGATATTACTAATGTCAGGATCAGAGTCTTCGACATCTTTATCTTTAACAACCAGCAAATCTTACTTGATGCCATGGTAATAGACGCCAACCCCATAATTCCAGGGAATAACTTTATCCGAGGAATATGATATATATCCAGGGAAAGTAATTATCAATGGAGCAATTTTTGGAATAGATGTAATCCTGACAGGTCTTTTGGAGGAGACCTTGGGAGGATTGAAGGAAATGGTAACGATAGAAACATCTTCTCACGGAGCACTTGTAACCGGAGTCTTCTTAAACAGGATTTCTTTATCATCCATCAGGCACTGAACACCCTCCTTCAACAAATGGCAACCATTAGGTAAGGACAAACATAAATGACAACCTTCTCCATAACCCGGAAATAAACCGGTCTACAAGAGATTCTTTTTAATAGTCAAGAGTGGAGTAGCTAGTTCATCAACAGAAGCAACAAAAATGTCATCATGAATAGCATTAACACCACGGTCATGCTTGAGCATATGGGCAGTTATAACATTAGGGGTCTCAGGAGCATCGAATTCAATCTCCTTTGCCTCAATCAAATCTTGTACCTTGTTCTTCAAAGCCCAACAATCGTTTGTATTATGGACTGGACTTTCAGAATGGTAAGCACACCGAGCATTTGAATTGTAGTTAGGAGATGTAGTGTTGGGATTCTTGGGAGCCTCCTTTAGGGTCACCAAATTGGACTTCAGCAGGTGTGGTAAAACCCGAGATAGGGTCATGTTGATCCAGGTAAACT